AGAAAAGATATCTTTGAAATAGTATAAGAACTAATGATGCAGCAAAGTGTTGAGTAAGCCCATCAAATTATATTTTAAGCATATGATTTTTGCCAGCTTTAAAATATATTTCAACTAAATTTATTTTTGAAATATTTACAGGATTTTATATTAAACTGTTAAGAGTTTGGTCTCCTTCTATAGGACAAATACAACTTAGTTTATGTAAATTTTATGTAAATTAGAAGTTAAAGAAGAAAAGGATAGGTGGAAACACAGATACATATCAATGTAGACTACATTTGAAGAGTAGTGGATCAGGGCCGACGACATGGGTTTCAAAGTGGAGAGGCACAGTCGTCAAATCAAAAAAAAATTTATATATGTAAAAAAAAAGTTTTTTACATATATAAATTTCTGAATAAAAAAAAAAAGGTCCTTTAAAAAAATAGTAGGGGGCTAGTGCACTAAGAAAAAGAACAAGCTAGATAAATTAAAAGATAAAGAATCGTAAAGACAAAAGGGATTAGGGGATAACAATGGTGTTTTAGAATCCCATGGCTTAACAAAAGAAAGCAAGGAATGTCAAATAAAGACTCAGAGCTCAACGAGGTAGAGGATTTTAATGGTAAAAATCAGAAACGCAGGTATAATTTTTTTTTCAATATTAAGTTGTACTTTTTAAAAATAAAAAAATATTTTGTTGAAACCATAAATACATAGATATAAATAATTAGACAATAACTATAATAATGGTTTTTTTTTTACATTTAATCACATTTCCAAATTTGGAAATGTGATTAAATGTACAAAAATCATTGAATGTACGTCAATAAAAGACTTCCCTTAGCAACTTTAGGTGAGACTTTTGTATCTTAAGATGTGGAAATAATACTAACCGTTTTCTCGAAACACACTGCATTTTAAAACTTTAAATATGAACAAGATGAAAAAGATTTATGCAAGAAATTTAGGTGAATTCGATTGAGCCAAACTCTTACAGATACCCTGAAAGCTCCAATGTTGTAAATATGTAGGAGACATACATATGAAGTAGATACACTTCATTAAATGGCTCTTCTAACTGAAGAAAAAACTAATGGTCCAAGAAGGGGTTTTTGTGTCAAGCCAAAGATGAAGTAGCTTGATATCTGAAAGATAGTTGATAAAGAAAAAAAATTACGCAAATCGGACTGGCAAAGAAATCTTAAATTTAGCAGGATGAAAAGAAGCTTTTAATAAATACAATTACTACAATATTTTCAAAAAAGGCTATAGAATAGTCTGATAGTTCTGGTTTTTTTTTATCTACCATTTTTATATCTATCATTTTATATCTACCATTGACGGGTTGAAAAATTTCAACCCCTCAATGGTAGATATGAAATGGTAGATATAAAATGGTTGATATAAAAGCTTTAAACTGTAGATACTCTTTACCACTCTCAGCTGCACAAGTTTAATGTATAAATTAAAAATATATCTGTTGCTAATGATGTTGCAAAAAGTAACCTTTAACTCAATGAAGAATTTAATGCATCTACCAGAAATGAAGATAACCTTTAAGTTTTTAACTTTTTTTTTAGATTTATATTGCATAAAAGTCTTAGAAAACCTTTCGACTTTAATAAACGTTAAAAAGTTTCCTATAGTATGACCAAAAATAAGTTTGGAAACTGTAGAGAAATTTATATTTTTTGTCTAAATTTTCATGAAATAAAATCTAGGATCGGCAAAAATGAGTCACTTTAACTGTCACCTCCACATCACGCCCACATCACATCCACATCACATCCACATCACATCCACATCACATCCACATCACATCCACATCACATCCACATCACATCCACATCACATCCACATCACATCCACATCACATCCACATCACATCCACATCACATCCACATCACAACCATATCACATCCACATCACAACCACATCACATCCACATCACATCCACATCACATCCACATCACATCCACATCGCATCCAGTCATAATAGAACGTTTAAATTTTTTAGCAACTTATCTAGGGTCCATAGAATGGGAATCAGTAGTGAGCTTTCGGCGCACTTTAAATTGATACACTTGAAACTCGGTTATTTTGTATTTTTAAGCCATTTTGCTTACAGTTGTTATAGGGAAGTGAATATTGAAAACGTAGTTAAGTCTCAATTAATAATTAATTCCATTGAACGGGTGAATAAAAAAGAGCAACTGCTTTTAATCAGAAGCATTTTGCAGTATTTGCTCGACTTAACATAAATTAATTTCTTGAACAATTGCTCCTTTTTGCGCGAAAACTTTCACTCCGGTCAAAGAGTAAAAGCTTTCCACAAAAAAGCAATTATTGCTTGTGAGCAATTGCTTCTTTTTATTCACCTGACCTAATGAAAATTAAAGCGGAAACGCTCGTTATATACCTATCTTTGGGTGCGCCGTTTAAAAGTCTGCCGAGCTTTTTTAAGTTTTAGCTTTAGGACACCATACTGAATTAAATACTTTATTCTATTAATATACTTAGTAATAAATTACTAAGAAATAAAGTACTAAGTAATATGTTACTAAATACTAATTTAGAATTATAAAATCTCTACAAAGGGTACAAAACTTTTAAAAATATAAAATATAAAACTTGTAAATATAAATTCTTTTCACTTCGCTGTACACACCTAACACGCTCTCGTTACTTAAACCGCACCGAATGCAACAGGAATAACAAACGTTACTCGCAATCCTTTTTTAAAAAAACGCTTTTTTCTTTTTTTTTTCGCATTACATTGCATTGCATTGGATTGCACCTTGTGTCACAGAAATAATTAACTTATTTAGGATTGCTATTAAAAAAGTTGACTATAACTTATTTCAAATGTTTACTTTTAAATGAAGACTTGATAAAACTAAAAAAAAATTTTTTAGTGTTATTGCAATTTTAGAGCATTACTATGCATTTCCTTTTCTATTTTAAAAATGCATGACAAAAACTAAAGCCTCAAGAAATAAAAAATAAAAATCACACACTTATAAAATGGCGATTACCTCAAACTGATTTTGATTCAATTATTTTATAAATACAAAAATACATTCAACATACTTATTTGATAAAGAATATGTTTTAAAAATTACATTTACATATTTAATTAATAGTTTTAATAAAATAATTTAAAAATTTGACTAAAACTAAAAAAATAACCGATGTATATAAAGACTGTCGCTAAGGTACGATTTTAAACTTTTTTTTTTTTCCATTCGCAAAAAAACTAAAAATAATCATCAACAAGTTTACTCAAAGTTCTAATACAAGCGCTATTTTTAATAAAATATTCAATATGAGAGTATTTTAGTTTATCTATTTGAGCTTTTATTTGCTATTATGGATAAACTACATTTCTTTATGCATATATAACAATGAGTCAGATACAAAAACTGCTGGAGGTTGGAATTCAGCTTTTTTAATCCTTTTTGCAAAATAGTTTGTAAGAATTAAAGAACTCTTTTAAACACAAATTTATTTTGAAAACTAAATAAACTAAACATTTGCTGAAAACTTTCAGAAATATTTATTTTTAATTTTATAGTTTAAATCGACTTTAAAATCAATTTTTAATTTTAAATGGTTTATGAAAACTTAAAAGCGTTAAATAATTACTAACAAATTCTCCCAACTTTTGTTTAAAGTTGTATTTTTGAATATTGTGTCGGAAAATAACGAGCTGTTTGCGAATGTTTAAAATAAGTTGTTTTGATTTTTTGATGACGACTTTAGGAAATGGCATACCATTGAAACTTGTCATTAAAATCATACATTTACATTTTCATTCATATGAAAGCCTTAATATTGCATATGGCTTATTAACTAAAATAAAAAATATTTTATGAATATGTTTGATCATTTTATTCTCGGAGGGAGGTAATAAATTATTTGTAGTTGCGGTTAAAATGCAAAAGAAATTTATATGCTAGTACGTGTGTGTATGCGTATATAGCAGCGAATTAAAAAATAAGGAAAAAGCAGTTTTTAAATGATATATATAGAAAAGTTAATAAACTAATATAATATAATTATATACGCAACATATATACATAATAAATAATAGTATTATGTACGACAAGTTTATGAACAAATTATATAATTCAATGACACTGATTGTCTTTGTAGAGCATGTTGTGTACGCAGCTATGTTTGAAATAACAATCGTAGAAAACATTTAAAAAATAATATGAAATGATATAAGATGGAAAGAAAACAGTAACTAATTAATTTTGAAACTTGCAATAATTAATTTTGATACGACTGTACAGCTATATTTTTTCTTACGCTTTAAGTTTAATCTAAGATTACTCTAACTGTTTATTACTATTTAGTAGAATTATTTCCTTTCGTTTGTCGTAATTTAGAATTTTAATTATCGTTGAATACCTAATACTTGCCTAGTCGCACTACTTTGCATCTTTTTGAGTTTTTTGATCTTAAATATTCATGTTTCTTAAGTATTCTAAATAAATAGATCTTAAATATTCATGTTACAATGTTTCATGGTTTTGTGCTTAAAAAAAGTGCTCTTGACGAAGATTGCATATGTTTAAGAATGCTTTGAAAAGCTGCATTTCTACTTTTAGCATATTTTTCTATAGATTTTCTCTCACTGCAGTGTGTGAAAATCTATAGAATATATATATATATATATATATATATATATATATATATATATATATATATATATATATATATATATATATGTATATATATATATATATGTATATATATATATATATATATATATATATATATATATATATATATATACATATACATATATACACATGGGATTTTTATATAGTGTCTTGTTCCTCATAGGTGTGTGCATGTGTTTGTGTAAATGGTATTTTATGGTGTATCTGAATAAGTGCGTGTGTGGGGATGCATAAATGTGTGTGTGTGTGTGTGTGGGGGGGGGGATGCATGTGTGTGTGTAATAATGTAATTGTTATTATGTAATTAATGATAATTTTCAAAATTATGATAAAATTTTTTTATCTATTTTAAAAATAAGATTAAATGAACAATTCAGTTAGGCATTGGAGCTCATCGGTTAATAAAGCTGTTGTGCAACGGTCAAGTAATGGAAGTTTTAATTTATGCATTGAAGGTGGTTCTGAATATGGCCAATTCGTTGTAATTGGAGATGTTTTAACAGGTTTGTTTTATATTTCTTTTATTTAAACTACTGAGAAAATATTTTATTTAAGCAACTGAAAATGATTGAAAAATGCTGAATTAAGTTTTTGCTGTAAAACTGGTTCTACTTACTAACAAGTTGTTTGATTATTTAATAACTAACCATAGGTAAACAATTCTTGCTCTTTAAATGTTTTTAACTGGTCAAACAAACCTAATATATAAAGGCCACTAATGCATGTAGAAGAATTTAATGGAAGCAATATAAACAATTCAAATTTTACTTTTTTATATTTTATAAACAACTTCAAGATAATTTTCTAAAGTTGGAAGTGGTCAATATATATTTATATATTTTTTTATGATCTTTTTTTGAAAAGCAGGAGTCTCAAAGGATAATGTATCCCTTAGTTGATATTTTAATAAAGAAAAACAACATTAGCATTTGCTAATGTTGTTTTTCTTTATTGTGCTTTCAATTTCCTAATGTTGTTTTTCTTTATTGTGCTTGCAATTTGCTAATGTTGTTTTTCTTTATTGTGCTTGCAATTTCCTAATGTAGTTTTTCTTTATTGTGCTTTCAATTTGCTAATGTTGTTTTTCTTTATTGTGGCACCATATTTAGTTTGGTTTTTCTAATAATACTCTTTCTCTTTTAGACAAATTAAAATAGAATTGTAAATGTAGTTAGTATTTCTCTAGCTTTCAAGATTGTGTCTTTTTTTTACAAATGCTGCCATGATTGCTACTTAAGCTGGCCATTATCTTTTTCTCCACTTAACTAAAACACTTCCTTTTGTGATATGTTTTAAAAGCATTGCATCTTTTTACTGTAATTGTTTGTTTAGGTTAGTTTTTTTTTTAAATCAATGCTTTAGAACTTTTTTCTGTGATCTTGTCATTATGCTGTCCTTCATGTTTTCCTGTAGTAGTAAAATGGCTTCACTTAAAATGAGACTCTAGATTAGTGGTGTTATATGTTTGTGTCATTAATAATGTTTTAATACCCTTTTTATAAAAAGATCTTGCTTTCCATGAAAGGGTGTTAAAACAATAATGCCACATATAACACGACTGTTCTCTATCTATACTTGCCATACATAGAGAACAATAGTCCTAAAGTTGACAAATCATTATGAGAATGAACAAGATTAGTATTTTGAGTAGTTTTTTTTATTATTGTACGGCAATATGCAATAAAATATCCCAAAGGTAATATAACCATTCTTTGATCTAACAATAGATATTTTAATACCTAAGGTAATTGAACCATTATTCTTATAATTTTTTTTTTTTTTTTCTGGTGAATACTTTTTCTTTGATTTGCTGCAGCAACAAAGTATGACTTATCTTGATAAAATATTTACACAAATTGTTCTTAGTAATATACATTTTTTTATTATTATTATTATTTTTGAATAACCTCACGTTCCCCATTGACTGTTGTAATCTTCTTTGTTTCTTAAAGTTACTATAAAAATTATATATTTTTTTTTTGAAACAACTATCTTTTAATCCTATGACTCTAAAACCCTTGAAAAAAATCACTGCTTGTGGAAAAGTAAGTTTTATCTTGTATAACACATTGAACTTTACTTTGTAAGTAAGAGATAGGGAACTTCTTACTTAAAAAGAAAGTACTCTACCACTGCATCATTATCTCTTGTAATTTTTGAAAAATAGCTTAATCTACCTTCCCAACACTAAGTTAAAGCTGCTACCCCTTTTAAATTATTATTTGATATAAAATATAAAATATGGACCTTGGTGAGCAAAGTTGTGTTCAGAAACAAGTTAAGTATGCCAAGAACATTTTAAGGATCAAACTATGTATTTATTGCTCTGGAAGCTATTTAATTCTACTACTACTGCAAGTAATATATAGGTGGTACTATATCTAATGTACGACAGATATATGTGGTAATATATCTAATTTAGCACTGAAGATGACTATTAACAACTTATAGGACTTTTTTGAAGAGAGAATAACAAAAAAAAAATTCTTTTTTTTACCAAATTATATCTAAAGTTGTTTAACCCAAACAATAAGTTTAAACCCGAACAATAAGTTTCAAGCCAAACAATAAATTCTAAGAACTAGAAAAACTAAAACTTACAATTTAATTTTTATTAACTTTCAAAACTTTCTTTGTGCATAAATTCTTTGAAATTTAAATATAATTAAGTAATATTTAGTAATTAATTTTTAGATGTTTAGTAATTTTTAGTAATAATTATACTAGAGTATTGTTGTTATTTAAAGATTTTTTTATATTTTTTGAGAATGTTTATTTGTTTTAAAGTTGTTTATTTTTTCATTAATTTTAATCTTTTTTCAGATAATAATATTTGTTTAAACTTGATAATTTTTTATTTTTTTATGTGGTTTAAATGGTCACCATTAATTACTTTGAAACAATGTGAATGATTAACATAATTTTTTTTTTTTATGTTCGTCTTAATTGTTGAGTCTGGTCTTATCTATATCTGAATCAAGTCTTAAAAATGAATCAACTCTAAATGATGATAAATGATGATAAATAATGAATTAAAATGAATCACAATCAAAAATTAAATAAAAGTATAGAAACTAAATGAATCAAGTTTATTTTCAATGAAAAAACAACAAGTAAAAAAATAAATTAACCAAATGATTATAAAAAATTAGTATTAAAAGCTCATTAATAATGTAGAAAAAAAGTTTTTCACCTAGTTAGTTTACCTGCTGAAATATTAACCTGCTAAAATATTCTATTTTTTTTTAGTTTTGAATTTATTTTTAATATTTTTTTAGATAAAGTTCTATATAAAACAGGAAGATTAACTCCTGGTGAGATAATTCTTGAAATTAATGGAACACATATTGCAGGTTACACACAGAGTGATGGTATTTCATTAATCAGAAATAGTGGCAATATTCTTAGAATCACTTCGGTTATTTCAGGTCAACATTATTGTACTTTTTTCTGTTTTAAAAGTAGGAAAAACAAATTTAGAATGTAAAACAGACTTTTAGAATACAAAATTTGTTTGTTTTACATTAATACTAAAACTACCTTTATCTCCAGGTTTTGGAATTAGCAGAGATTTAAGAAGATATCTTGGAACACGGTTTTCTAAGGGATCCATTGACCATGAACTTCAACAAACAATTCGAGATAATCTTTATATGCGCACAGTACCTTGTAAGTTTTTTGTTTTTCTAATATTAAAAATGTGTTAAAAGAAAATGCTGGTAACTACTGGACAAATAGAAACACTGCTACAATAACATTGAAAATACTGGCATTGTATTAATAATAATACAATACTTATAACTTTAAAATGTTACTTTTAAAATAGTATTAAAAAAGATTATGTTAACAAAAAGTGTATTTATGCCAAATATTTATGTTGCTTAAACTTATCAGTCGATGTATATTTTTTTGTGTTTGTTATTAAATTTCAGTCTATATTAGTTTTTTTCTACTTTTTGCTCTGGAAAACTTCATTTGTCAATTAAATTTAGCAAAATATATTATATATTAATAAAATTTATTATATATATATATATATATATATATATATATATATATATATATATATATATATATATATATATATATATATATATATATATATATATATATATATATCAAGCCTTCCAGGGAAGCGTGTATGGTTGCACGCCTTGTACGTCCACGCTTAAGGTAATTTTTTTAGACAACTTGATTATGTTTTTATATAAGTAAGCATTTTAAGAATTAGCGGCAAAATAAAGCTATAAGAAACTAGAGAATAAATCAGCAATACTCAAAGAAAAAACCCGAAGACTATACAAATGGAAAATCTAAATAAAATAAGCTAAAAATAAATTAATAAAAATAGGAAAGTTGTTATCAAAAAAATAATATACTTAAATATTTACTGTTTTTATTTTCTTATTTTTAAAACGTTTGTTAAAAAAATAAACAATGCTGTAAAAATTTGTGGGCTAGTGGATTGTTAATTTACTAAACTTTCTTAATGAAATTTTTAGGAGCCTATTTAAAACTTTTTTTCAGTCAGTATATAACAGTAATGTTATTCTTTTATTTAACTAATTCTGTCATTTACATAATTTTATTATTCAAATAATATTTTTTACAATAAATAACAATTTATTTTCTTATTTTCCTATTATATAAGCATTGAGAAAAAATGTATAATATAGAAAAAATATTTTTAAAAGCGAAAAGACGTAAAAAACTAATAAATGTAATAAATGAATAAATATAAGAAAAAAAATTAACAAATTTTATAGTATAACAAATTTTATAGTTCTAGCGTACATAACAAATTAGTTTCTTAATTATATGGACTGATAAAAATAGTAAATAAGTTGTTGAAAAAAAAATTTTTTTCAACGACTTTAAAAAAAAGAATACAAAAGTTGTATAAAAAAAATTTTTTTAATTTACTTTTTTTAATTAATAAATTTTCTAGTTTATTTAATTTAATTTGATATTTTGTAACAATTTTGTTTCCTTATATAAGAATTTTTTTTTTTTTTTTTAGTAAACAAGTTTAGCTTTTTGCCGCGAATTATTAAAACGCTTTATAAATTAAAAGATCCGAACTGCCGTGGTCAGTTAGTCTAAAAAATTTACTTTAAATGTGGATGAACATGGCATGCGACCGCACACAATTCACGGGAAGGCTTAATATAAATAATCAATCATACAGTTGTTTGTTTTTTATTTGATGTTTTGACCACAATAAAAAAATTAAGAAAGCAAAAATAATTAAGTTCATTTTAGGTACAACAAGAAGCCCTCGTGATGGAGAAGTCCCTGGCGTTGATTATGAGTTTCTTTCTGTTAATGCATATCTAGAACTTGAACGTTCTGGTCGTCTTCTTGAAAGTGGTTTTTATGAAGGCAACTATTATGGTACTCCTAAGCCACCAAAAACCCCAATGACACCAGGTACTGGAACCATACGAAAACAAAAAGTGTAAGTTATATTTAGTTATATTAAATAAGTTTTCATTTAATATATTTATAATTTGTTGAAATAAGTAAAGTATAAATTTTACTTTTTTTGTTCTCTTTTCCCCTTAATATAAATTATATAAAAGTTAATTGTTATATTAGTTGAAATATTGACATATAAATTTGATATTTTAATATTTGCCATATTTATTATTTGTATTAATTTTTATATTGCATAAATATGTATAAATATATAATTCAAATGTATGCGTATGTGTGTATATATGCAGAGCTTGTGATAAAGCGGTTGCCTTTGTTCCCTTCACATAAAACACACCTGTAAGCAAAATATTCAAAACCTCCTGGGCGCAATAAGCGATGCTCATTCAGCTTATAATAAGAGTATAAAATCACACTTCTATAAGAGTTTGGGAGAGAAAAACTTATAAGTTGTTTAGTTGATATATAATGTCACTTACTTTAAAATAGAATGTGTGTTTCTGTTTTGCACTAACATAATTAATAAAACGTTTGAAGTTGTTAAAGCTAGTATGGAATGAATGAATGAATGGAATTTCTAGAATGGAAGGTTTACTATTTTAACTAAGCGCACTTGGAAACACAATTTGAATAGAAACATGTACAAATGAAATGTGAATAGAAAATTACTATACATTCACCGTGTGAATAGGAAATTACTATAAGAAAGTTAAAACTTCAGAATGTTTTTAATTTTGTAAAAATGTCAAGGGTTTATTTCATTTTCAATTTTTAAAATTTAAATTTTCTAGATAGTATAGGTTTTTAAAGTATTATCTTAACTTAAATTTAAAACGTTTCTACTGTTTAGAATGTCCACAATCAAAGAGATTCAAAAAGGAAACAAAGTGATGTTGTCAACATTTATTAAATGGAAAGTGGAGGAAGTAATAGGCTTTAGAATAGAAATTACCAACTGAATTACATACATAATTAAAGTATACTGCAAAGTTTTTTTTGAGAAATAGGGAAGCTTGTAAAGGCTTGATAAGGCAAGCTGTTTTATAGTTTATTAATGGGACAAACTTAGTGCCAAACCACACAATTCAAAGACATTCAAAAAAAGCATCTCAACTCACTGCAATAAAATGTGAGGGCAAGGAACCATCAAATAAGCAATATTTAACATTAACCGATGGAATAAGTATTACTTCAAAGGTAACATTAAATTGTTATCTTTGAAATAATTGTTATACTTAAGTTACAGATTCTAATTTTTTAATTTTGAACAGTGCTGAAGCGGTGTTTATTGGTTGATATTATTCATACCATAAATGGTAAAAAAATAATAATGTGATCAATAGGAAACAATATACAAGAAGTTAGGAAGTATAAAAAGTCTCTTCGTTGGTGTTGTGTTGTGAGTGCACTGTTACGTAGTGTTGTGAGTGTACTGTTGCAGATTCTACTTCAAAATATTTGTCAATGAAAGAACATTATATAACAAATAGATATAAGATCTTTGTTGTATAACATCTTGAGCGCGCATAATCATGTTTGTTGACATATTACAATATTACAAGTAGGAAATAACACGCTGGGCAATTTTCTTTATTGCAACTGCTGATATGTGCATGTGTATGTGCATGTGTATACATATACTTGTCACATTGTGTGGTTTTTGCTGAGATCTTTTTGTATTTTGTTAAACTTTTTTGTAAATCATTATTGCATGTGTAGCACAATCAGTTTACTCTTAGATCATCTTTAGTTTTTTTAGACCATCTAATTACTTTTTTACAAAAAGAAACATTTATAGGGCACGTTTCTTTTTGGATGGAATATTTTTCACTGGAATTCTATATCTAAATTTTCTGTTTATTTTTTATGGGGCATTGACTTTTAATACTAAACAGTATGAAATGTTATTTATGATTTTTTTTTGCTTTATTTTTTTTTTCTTAAATACATCTACTTGTCTAAGAGGCTATTTATCTTTTTCTTTCCTTTGTTTTGCCATTTTAAGCACTCTATATGTATAAACAAAACAAAATCTGAGTTGCCACAGGATGGAATACCAGTTTCAGGTCTGTGTATCTCAGGTGTCCTTGTGTCATAGATGTTTTTCATGGGTAGGTATTTAATATATTTTAGACTCTGAGATAAGACTGTATTGGTTTACATCCCTTCACACTAGTCACATCACGTCCTTGACTCATCGTCATGTCCTTCACACATTGTCATGTCCTTCACACATTGTCATGTCCTTCACACAATGTCGTGTCCTTCACACATTGTCACGTCTTTCACACTAGTCCCTTATATGATTGATCTTACTTCTGAATATTCTTTGCTCAGTGACTAGTCTACAGTATACCTTTTATATATCTTTTTACAGTATACCTTTTATATATATCTTTGATATACGACTAGAACCTTTTGTTGTGTCGTAGACTACACATTCAACTCTCATTCTTGCCTCTGATTAAACTAGACATTACAAATATACAGCAAGGACTTATACATCATGTCAACCTATCAGTTTGGGTTTCACCACCCTACATACTTCATACTTATATTTTAAACAAGCTATTTCTATTTTTCTGTTGTTATTTTTATTTAGTTTTTGATTTTGATTCGTCTTGATTTATCATTCATCTTCATTTGCATATTTTGTTGAGACTTGATCATGTTTGAGACTTTATCATTCAGACTTTATCATTCAGACTTTATCATTCAGACTTTATCATTCAGATTCAGGCTTGATCAGATTGATTGATACATTAATTCAGACTATTCAAATTGGTTCAGACTCAATAAGTTTTTTAGTTTATTTTTTTTCTGATCTTTTTTTATTTATTTATTTTTTCATTTTTTATGTTATATATTTTTATAAAAATTTAAGATGGTTGCTCTTTCCCTCTGTAGCATGGTTAACACTTGTGGATCAATATTTCTGATTTTATTTTAGTGGTTGAACATTGGTACAAAAGTCCAACCACTAAATTAAACCCTGATGTTTTGTGTCACTTTTTATGACTTTTAGATATTTTAAAAATGTTTTAGCCATAAACCCGAGGAAAAGAAAGATGATTTAAAAGATCCTTTACCAATTAACTGGGAGATTGCTTACACAAAAGATGGCGAGATGTATTTTGTTGAGTAAGACTGTTTTTACGTTTTATGTTCTTTTTTTTTCCTTTTTCTTTCTATTTTTTGCTGTGTTTTGTAACCTTATATATTAGTTTGTAAATTGTATTAGTTTATAAAGTATATAAAAAAAAATAGACCCTAATTCATGATGGACCTCTGTATGTCATGATGCACCCCTGCATGGGAAAAGTATTCACTTCTTTACAATTAAAAAGTAACAAATGAAAAAAATAACACACATAATAAAACAAGAGAATTTTATAATCAAGGCTATACACCTTTTTATAATGAAAAAATAACACACACCCTTGTAACAAAAAAAATATTTCACAGCCTCATAATAAAAAGCAACATTGGCTTTTAATATAAAAAACAATAAACCTCTTTATAATTAACAAATGACTCACACCCTTAAAATGAAAACAAAGGTTTTTAAGAAAACCATATTGAAATTTGAAGCATGTTTCAAGATGGTTATTAAAATCATTGACAGTTGTAGGTGTTTATTAAAGTCAGATACTTATGTGTCTCACTTTTTACATGAGAGTTGCAGATATAATAAACTTTTAACATATAAACTTGTTACACATTTACATTTTTTAACTGATTTTAATTCTTGTAATTTTTATTAATTTTTTTTATTTTATAGCCATAATACTGGTCGCACTCAGTGGGAAGACCCAAGAAAAGTTAAGCCACCATCACGACCTTCAGTGTTGCCTCCTGAAGAAAGTTTGTCTTATTTATTTTAATCTTTTTTTCATTTTATAAAAAAATTTCAGAAAAAGAAGATTAATACAAACATTTTCCTTTATATTTTAGGTTTACCTCCAGGTTGGGAGAAGGTTGATGATCCAAAATATGGAACTTACTATATAGAGTAATAAATAATAATATAGTTTATATATTATGCATATATTATACATATACACATACTATGCATATATATATATACATATGTATATATATATATATATATATATATATATATATATATATATATATATATATATATATATATATATATATATATATATATATATATATATATATATATATATATATATATATATATATAGTAGCAGTGGCACAGTGGTCAGAGTTCTGGCTCAGAAACCAGGGGTCCCTCAGGTGTTCACTGCTCGTGTGTGACCATTCAGCGAATTTTATTGCAATTACTGTCACCGCGAAAAAGGATTTTTGTCTGTGGAAGATGCCTGGGCTAGCTTTTTAGTCATAAGTCAGTTCTAAATCCATGCATAGGTGTTTAATCCATCATGGTTTTCTGAAGTATGGCTGGGCTGGCTTGATTTAGTTCAGAGACAAATCTTTTATCTTATTTAGATAATATTTTCTTTTAATAGATATGTTGTTGAAATGTAGATACAGATTTGTATGTTATCTATATGTGTGATTGAATTTTTCATTAAAGGATTCATATGCATATACATATAAGTATAAGAACGATTCTTATAAACTAGCAGCTTTTGACTTGTTTCTATGAAGTATGTTTTTCCTTGTTATTTTGTTATGGTCTCAAAGTTACATTTAATTCGGACCGAAGAGAAAACTTTACTTTTCGGAAATTTCGATTTAGATATGGTCTCAAAGTTTCTTTTAGTTCGGACCGTAGAGAAAACTTCACTTTTTAACATTTTTTTTTCCCGCTTTCTACATCGTTTTTATATCACGACTTATATCACTGTTATATTACCCACAACTAATTTTTTAACCACTCATTTGGCTTAAAATTATCTGGTTTTATTACAATATTTAGTCTTATTGCTATATTTATTAATATATTACTTATCTCCTGATTTTCATATTATTACTGTTTACAGAAACTTTCATGTTATATTATCTTGCATTCATTACTCAGCTTTGTTTTAATTTTCACATGGACAATTTTCATCTTTATTATTATTCAGAGAATATTTTTATATCCTTCATTTAATGTTTACATATATGTCGCTTACATTTTTAAGGTTTTTGTGCAACGTTCTTTTTCGCTATCATATATTATTCTATGATTGTTATGATTTTGGGTTTTGCGGGTTACTCATTTTCCTACACTTTTGATTGGTTATCATATTTCGAATGAGGTATCTATGACAGCTTTAGAGTTTATTTAAGGGTATTGTTTTGTTTATTAAAAAAAATTTTTTAATGAGGTATACTGCTTTCTGAATATCTTGGGCTTGTTTAGGTTAATAATACCTATTTGGTTTTATTTCTTAAAATAAATTGATTAATATTTTTATGTTTCTATTAGAATTTTAATTTATTTTGTTTTCATGTTTTCTTTTGGTGGTATGGTAAGTGTTTTATTTAGTTGTTTTTATTTTTGTTTGTTCAGTAAATCTATACTTTTTATATCATATCATCAACAAAAATATTGGTGCTTTACAAATTTGGGGTTGGTTGGGTTTTGGCTATTTGTAGTGAGTCCTTTTTTACTGCAGTATGGAATAGGCGTAAGTTGCGGGGTAAAGCATAAGTGGCGATGACGTTTGTCTGACGCCATAAACTAGTTATAAATGCTGATCCTCATCAAAACGCCAGTAATAGACGCGACTCTGAGGAGATGTTTATTACTTAATCACTACACTAATTATATTTACACATTAGCATTAATGTTTTTTTTCCATTATTAGTCCTTTCATTGTTGTTAGCATATTTTTAATTTGTTGAATGGTTTTTTGTTTTACAAATTTTTGACTGGTAATGTATTTCTTGTATATTTTAGTTCATATTGGTATTTATAAAACAATTTTTTTTTTTTTGAATTTTTTTATTTTTTTATATATATTTTTTTATCATTTATTTTTATTTTTTTAATTTTTTTATTGTTATTATTGTTGAGTACTGTTTTGGTTGTATAGCCTGTCTTATTTATTTTTAAATATTCCTCTATTAATCTTTATTTTTGTCTTGACAACTGTCAAAATATGCTTTGTCTAATAAACAATTCTCCTTTATTCTAATGTACTTCATTTCTTCCCTCAGGCGTTCACTGCTCGTGTATGACCATTCGGCGAATTTTATATGCCAAAGTTTTTAAATAATAATATAGTTTATATATTATGCCTATATTATACATATGCATATATTATGCATATATATATATATATATATATATATATATATATATATATATATATATATATATATATATATATATATATATATATATATATATATATATATATATATATATATATATATATATATATATATATATATAGCAGCAGTGGCACAGTGGTTAGAGTTCTGGCTCAGAAACCAGAGGTCCGAGGCTCGACGCCAGCTCTAGCCCAACAAGCGACACTGGTACAGAAGGAGGCGTGAACTTCCTGTTAAATGCTCTTCTGCGGTGCTCCATGATAAGTAAGGACTTCTGGGAGCACCTAAAATACATACAAATATATATATATATATATATATATATATATATATATATATATATATATATATATATATATATATATATATATATATATATATACATACAAAACAAAAAAATTTTCCAGATCAGAATTGGGAAAAACCTCTGAACCTATAAATATTTTTTTTGTTTTTTTTACAGCCAAAAAAACTAAAGAAAAAAAAATTAAAAATTTTTTTCATTCAATATTATTGTTTCTTTTAATTGCTAGACCATGCAATAAATTTGAAGGTTTACAATATTTTCTTAAATTTTCCATATGGTAAGCTCCAAAAACAAAAGGCTGCTGCTTAAGTTTGCTGAAGAGTTTTTTTTCCTGACAATATTCACAGATCTTACTTTGAAAAGTCAGTCAAAAACTGTATGACATGGTATATGTGCTGACAAAGTATAAAAAATAGTATTTAAAAAAAACAAAAATTTGGCTATAAAAAACGATTTTTCTTTATACATAATTAATGCATATACCTGTGTTATACCAGTTTTTATTGTTTTTATTTTTTTAAATCTTGAACACTATTTAATGTAGAATGCCAAAACTTGTTTTTTCTTCATAAACACTTATAGAACTTAAACACTTTTTCTTTTAAACACTTTTTCTTTTTAAACACTTTTTCTTCATAAACACTTATAGAAAAGTTCACTATCCAGCATATCCGGCAAAAATATCTGGTACACCGAAATATAGGATACACCTCTACTTTTCTCCTATTACTCTTTCTTTACATAACTTTATGCTTACAGAATCTTTACTTTGCTTGTAATATAAGTTGCTTAATTTTGAGTATTACAACCATGAAAATTCTGTAAGCCAATCGGTCTGAAAAGTGAAAATCCAAAATGTTCTTACTCATTTTTTTTTGTCCTTATGAATATTTGTTTAGTCTTGTTTCTTTTTGTAAATTTAACAATGGTTCCATTGCATTTACAAGGAGCGAAAAAAGTACAAAACCATAACAGAAAAGAAACTTTTTATAAAATTTTTTTATTGTTCTTGCTTAATCTTCAATCAAAGTTAAATTTAGTTAAATGTTTAAAACATTGTTTTTAATTTAGTTAAATGTTTAAAACATTGTTTTTAAAGTAGTTTAACTTACTAATAACCCATTCACACTAAAAATAAAACAGGTTTTTACAGTAGTAGTTATTAACACGTTTTATATTTGCATCAAATTTAATACTGGATTTAATTCCATGCAGAAAGAGCAAAAAGTATTTAAATAAAGCAACTTTACAATACTGTTTTAATTAGATATGCTTAAAACGCAGTTTATTTAAGTTTTCTTTTAGGTATTTAATGAACTATTTTTTATAAAGATTATAAACAATTTATAGATATGTTTTATCAGTTACCAGTAAGATATTCATGAACATTTTACCATTACCAGTAAGATATTCGTAAAAATAATTTATGTTCATAAAAATAATTTATGTTCATAAATAAAACTTCATTAAAACTTTACAGGATATTTAGTTAATAAGAAATAAAAAAAAATTTAATCAATTTGTGAAAAGAATTATTTTAAACAAAAACACTCTCCCTTTGTAAAACAAATGTTTTTTTGTTTTTGTTTTTTGTTATTTATCTGATATATAATAAAAAATAAAAAACGTATATATATTTTTAACTCATTTTTAAAAATACTTTTTCATGTTTACACAGTTTTTTTTAAAGTATATACACAGTTTGTGTGTATGTGTGTGTGTGTATGTATATGTATATGTGTATGTGTATATGCTGAAAACAACTCATCTGATTCACTAGAATGTACCAATATCGATAAAACACAACAGTTTTACTTGAATCAATAGGAGTAGGTACTGAAAAAAATAAGTAGAGAATTCAATTCAAAAGTTTAAACAAAACAGAGAACAGACCAACTCTGATTCTAGTAGAATTTGAAGATAGATCGTTCTAAAACATTAAATTTGGCAAGAAGAGTAAGAAACAAAGGAAACTATAAACAAGTATATATTAGCATAGGTTTATCTCTAATGGAATAAGAAAATAGAAAAAAGTTATTGTAGAGAGTAATGGTAAAGCTAGTCGGGGGTGTAGGGTGTAGGGTAGCTATATATGTTAATTCAAAATATACTAGTATTGAAACAAATAATACTAAATGATAACTGTGTTGTGCAACAGTGTCTTTTGTCTAAAAAATTTGATCTGCAAATGATTGCAAGCAACTTCAATTAGGCTGACATCAAGTGGAACGTAGAATGCAACCCATTTAATTCAAACACTCTGGAAAACAAATTTTATCAATACTATAAATGGTTTCCATTTTATTCAACACATAAATTTCAAGATATACAGGCTTAGTTTGAAAGCGGGAGCGATTGCTCTCGTATACTGACCACGGAAATAATATTTAGTTGCGAAAAACTGGCCAGGTTTTTTAGTCGTTTTGAAAACATTTAAGTTTATGTACATAACAAAAAAAATTTTGTCTTACGGACATACATAGAAACATAATTAACTTTAATGTTCTCAAAACATCTTGGTGCAGAAGAATAAAAAGAATATTCGCAAACGCTAAAAACCCACCAAATTTACGAATAAACTAATTCTAAAATACACTGACTAAACAAAATAAAGTTCTAGGGTATTCTGTTGAAATGTTTTAAAAATTGTATTATTCGCGATTTGTTACATTTTCAGATTTCTAGCATAAATTGTTTTAAAAATATATTATCAATACTATGGCTCATTCTCAGAGCCACATCTGTAAAGCCATAAATCTTTTTAACTATTATTATTTGTTTACAAAAATAAATGTTTTATAATATATATTTTTTAAATTGTCAAAGTTTTGAAAGTTTTTTATAAATTATAGATTTTATTAGTATTTTCTTATTTTTTATTTAAAAAGTATTTATTTTTTATGTAGATGTAATTTTGTGTATATGTTTTTTATCGTAATGTAATCTTTTAAAGCAATTTTTATGATTTAATTTGTAAACAAAGACTTACAAAAATAATTGCATTTTCAATGAAGTTATTAATAATCATCAAAGTTAATAAAACTAATTATGTAACAAATATAAGAAGTTTCTGGTTACTAAACACAAACTTATTTGGATATATTAAATATTTACAAAAAGAAGAAAATAGCAGTCTTTTTGCTAGGCTTTGTATTTTACATTGATTTTTACATTGCAAGCGGTTATTTTTTCAGATATAATTTTTCTTTAATACCATTAAAAATTACTTGAAATATATTTTAAATTACCAAAAAAATTACCAAAATAAAATTTTAGAATGTTGATTTTTCTAATTAGGAGCTAAAAGAGTATTAGCAATTTATAGTTGCTGGAGCTTGTTAGTATGATTTATAGTTGCTGGAGCTTGTTAGCATGATTTATAGTTGCTGGAGCTTGTTAGTATGATTTATAGTTGCTGAAGTTTGTTAGCATGATTTATAGTTTGCTGGAGCTTGTTAGTATGATTTATAGTTGCTAGAGCTTGTTAGCATGATTTATAGTTGCTGGAGCTTGTTAGTATGATTTATAGTTGCTGGAGCTTGTTAGCATGATTTATAGTTGCTGGAGCTTGTTAGTATGATTTATAGTTGCTGGAGCTTGTTAGCATGATTTATAGGTACCTTGTTTTATGTGAGATATATAGTTGCTGGAGCTTGTAAGTATGATTTTTAGTTACTCTGTTTTATCTGAGATATATTGATACTCTGTCTTTTTTTATAATGAAAAGACAATTTTGGAATAGTTAATGCAAGTAAATTTTTAGAATCTTTGCTGGCATTTTCCTTGATACTTACTTAGGTTCTACTACTTAGGTGTTATAATACTGTTTACTTTTATTATAGCCATGTGAATAGAAAAACACAATATGAAAAACCAGATTTTCCTCAGAAAAATGGAAAGATTGACAATTCCAGGTATTTTTTAAAAACATCATTTATGTTGTTTTTCATTGTTTTGAGACGTTTTATCATAATTATTTTTTATCCAAATGTAAAATATACAAAAAATATCTCATAAATAGTACTCACAAATCACATAAATCACAAATTTTTATTTTTTAAATATTTTTATAACTTGTGACAACCCAGTTAATTTTTTTTTTTTTTTTTTAATTATTCACTTCCCCAAGGCCCGAGGGGGCCACTATAGTCGAGGAGGCTACTCATTTTTTTTTTTTTTTTTTAAATTGTGGTACAACCCTCTCTCAACTCTTTAACTCCAAAACACAAACCTTGACAAGCAAGGCTGCTGCGCAGAGAAATTAAATTGAATTTGATCAATTTTTTTTGAATAATTAATGTTTAATTAGTGAACAAGTTTTGTTATTTATTTGCTGTTATCTCTAAAAGTTGGTTGTTGTGTTTATCACTTAAGTGTTAATCTAATCTATATAAAATTTTAAAGATTTTTGATATAAATGTTTGTTTTGAAAATACTGCTGGACAACTGATGGGTGATTTGATCCTATGAATCTGGTTGGACCACTCTGATTTACCCCAAATTCAATCTTTCTAAATTTAATTTTGATAAATATGTCATCTTGTTTTCATTGTCTTTGTTCTCAGTTATTCAGTTATTCAACATTTATTTTTTATAAGAATTTTTTTAAGTGCCACAAATGAGGTTAACCAATAAAAAAATGCTTCCATGTTGTCACAAATGAGATTAACTAATAAAAAAATGTTGCCATGTTGTTAGTAATTAGATTACCCAATAAAAAAATGTTACTATGTTATCACTAATGAGATTACCAAATAAAAATGTTGCCATGTTTCACAAATAAGATTAACCAATAAAAAAAATGTGAATTGTTTGTGATTTTTAGTTATTGCTACATTTTTTTTTCTTCTTTTATTAACTAATTATTCTTGATTATTGTATTTTTTATAAAAATTTGAATTATAGAGAAGTTGGACGAAAAAATTTAATTATTGATACATCAAAACTACAAGGAGAAACATTTCGTGTATCATTGCGCAAAGGAGCAAAAGGATTTGGTTTTACAATTATAGGTGGTGAGCAACCTGGTGAAGTACTCCAAGTTAACAATATTGTCCGGGGTGGAACTGCAGATTTAGATGGTCATTTGCGTACAGGGGATATCATTATGCGACTAAATGGTAGAAATGTTCTTAACTGGACACACTCTGATATAATTCGATTTCTTCAAGGAACCAGGGTAAGCAACTTAAAGGGTTTTATTATATTTAGAAAAAACAAGTTAGTTGTACATCAAGATATAAAATTCTTTTTTTTAAAAAAACTCATAAGTTATATATGAGCAATTAATTATTAAAGTTTTAATTTCTAAAACAGGTTGGTGAAACTGTTGAAATGGATCTTGTTCGTGGTTATGAACTTCCTTTTAATTCAGAAGGTCCTGAAGTACAAAAGTTGACCAGTGGTATAAGTCAATTACAAAATGGCAACAAAAGTATGTTGGACAATAACCAGCTCAATGAAAAGAGCATGCGATTTGACAATAATTCTGGTTATTTATCAGATGGTGGCGGAAGTCGCTCTGGGGCTGGTATGACATCATGCTATATGTTGATTTGTTTTGAGTTAAAACTTATATTAAATTATATTTAAATAACAATTAAGACATTACAGAAGACATTGCAATTTTATAAGATTTAAGAAATTACAGAAGACATTGCAATTTTAAAATATAGATTTAAGAAATTACAGATATATAATAAGAAACTGCAGATAATTAATGTTGCATTTATATAAAATGTTCTTATAAGTTATACAAAATTTAAGAAAAATGTATAATTCATTTTTATAACTTCATATTTAAAAGATATTTGAATATCTTTTTTAATTAAAAATCAAATTTTATTAAATTTTAGTTTTATTATAATTTTAGTTTTATTATAATTTTAGTTTTTTTATAAGTTTTTTCTGTGTGTTGATTGTTTTTTGTGTTGTTCTTTTGTTTCAAGAACATAAGATAAAAAATAAAAAATTATCTACGATTTTAAAAAATCAATTAAATGTAAATGGTTTTGAAAATTCTTCTATTATTATATTTTGACATTGATTTTATTTTAGCTACTCCTGTTGCATTTCGAAGTGGTCCTCCACAATACATTGTTGTTCCAGTAGTTCGCGGTCCAAATGGGTTTGGTTTTACAATTGCTGATTCGCCTTATGGTCAGCGTGTTAAAGACTTAGTTGATCAGCGAAGGTGTCAAGGTGAGTTTAAACAGATTTAGTTGATCAGCGAAGATGTCAAGGTGATTTTTGCCAGATTTTGGCAATGGTCAAATTTAGTGTTCAGATTTGGGCAATGGTCAAGTTTAGTGTTCAGATTTGGGCAATGGTCAAATTTAGTGTTCAAATTTTTTACTGATTAAGTTTGATTGAAATTCAATAATTATTAGAATGTTGAATTCCCAGTCAAAACTTTTATATTAAAATATATTAATAAAATGTTGAAATTCTGAGGAAATTTCTAGAATCATATATATTATAATAAATAGAATTTCTTTTCTTATTCTCCTCACATTATTCTGGTAAAAGAAATAGAAAAGTCAGTTTTGTTCCTAAAATTTTTTTTTTCTACAAGATTAAAATGTTTTTATTTTTAATTAAATGCATGCTTATATGTTTTTGGGTTAAGTAAGTAACTTAATAAGTTACTTACTTAATAAGTCATTGCTTGCAGTCTTGTAAGGTGGGAAGTGTGTGCTATTATATATTTCTGAAACGCAATTAATAAACTGTTACTTGTGCTGGCAAGAAGTTAATCAATTGCATCATCAAGAAGTGAATTGCATCATCAAGAAGTGAATTGCATCATTGGAAAATGTAGTGTTACTAATAAACCATTTTTATGATTAAAAAAAAACTCTTGGTCATTATAATTCAGGATCAGATTTTAACAATTCAATGATCAAAATATAATGAGACTATCTAAAAATAACTCTTAAATGAAATCGCAAATATATTTGTGACTTAAAAAACATACTTAAATAACACACTTACTTAGCACACTTACATACATCAATAAAGATATTTTTCTTTGCAAGCAAATAGCTCAGCCTAATGTTAGCCTATGTAAGTAAATTCGAATTTTGATATGATATGGTATGATATTAAATTCATTATGATATGCTATGATATTAAATTTAATTTTCTAGTTCAAAATAATTACTTATATTACTTTAAAAGTCTCTGTGCAAGAGAGCCAATGATGTCCGATTTTAATTTATAAGTAAAATTTAGCGTGACGTGCTTTATGGATGGTCCCTTAAGACTTTTTTAAACATACTTAATAGAGTAATAAATTCTGTTATGATGAAGTTGTTATTTCATATTAGTATTTATATTATTTTCAGTTACTTTTGAATATAACAAACTCAATGAGCTTTTTTTTAACAATAGGTTTACAACAAGGCGATGTAATAATTCAAATCAACAATTCAGTTGTTCACAATCTAGATCATTCAGAAGTTGTAGAAGTTTTGAAATCGTGTCCTCGTGGTATACCTACAAATTTTCAAGTTCAACGTTCTGGCATTTTATCTGTTGTTAAATCAATGCCAAGTACTATTGGAAAAATGGAGCGACCAAAGTCTATGCCTGCACTAGATGAAGATGTATCTTTAGCACCTGGTTTACGCAGTACAACAAGCATGGGTGTCATATCAACAAATGGACAGGCATCAACAGCTTTATCAACTTATGAGGAACGAACTCATCCTCAAATATCAGAAAGCGGTGATGGCTACAAATCATTAAAAAGAGCTGTTCAAGGCAATGCAAGGTTTCTTTTAATATACACAAAATTACATTTTTAAGATACACAAAATTTATATTTAAATTTTAAAAAATGTTTTAGTTTTGTATATATGGCTATATTTTTCAAAGGTTTCAATACCTTTGAAAGTATTTAAGTTTGTATGTATTTAGGTGTTTTTAATCAAAGTATGTATGTACTTTTATGATTTGTACAAACATTTTGATGCTGATTTCTTTTAAATAATTTTATAATTAACTCATTCTCTCTTCTTACAGTTTTTTTATTCTTACAAGGCTATCTTTACTTTAAAACTTACATTTGAGACTGGTGCCTGATCTCAAATACTTATTTTTTGCAGAAAAACGTAAAGTAACACTGGGCAACAGTAATTTTGTTTTAGAGCTAAAGTTAGTTGTTTTTTTTATGTATTTCCACCTACTTAATTCAAAAATGACATATTATCTAGTTTAAGTAGGGCAGTAGAAACAGAAGTTCATGTTACATAAGAGAAGACTGTTAATTTGTATGTGGGGATGCTTGATTTGTATGTGGGGATGATCCAGAAATTGCATTCAAAATGCAATTTCTGGATCATCCCCACATTCTCTACCTCATTAAATCTCTTATTTTTCCCTGTATGGAATACTGCTGTCATAATTAGGCTGGTTCTTTTAATGATGCTCTTTCTCTTACAGACAAGGTCAAAAAACTCATTGTAAATGTTGTTGGACCTCTATCTGCTAAGCTTGAGCCTCTCTCCCATTGTTGTAAATTTGCATCTCTTTCTCTTTTCTACAAATACTGTCATGGTTTCTGCTCAAAGGAGCATTTTTAGTTCTGTTAACTATAACTAACTCTTGCTCATTTATTTCGACTCGTCATTCAGCAAGTTTCATTTACTGTATCTGTCTCTGCATGCTCTAAAAATTATTGTTATTTTTTCCCCACACTTTAACCCATTAGAACTCTCTCCTATAGATAGGGGAGAGTTCTAATGGGTTAAAGCGTGGGGAAAAAATAACATACAAGTGTGTATGAGTCAGGAAAACATAAGATCTTATGTTTTCCTGACTCATACAACCTACAGCTTTTTAAGTCTTCTGACAACCGTTTCCTTGCTCTTTTCTTTTTTTTTTCTAGTAACTCCAAACTTAATAGTGGTTGCTTGCAGCCCTGTTTGAAATGAATTAGTATTTTAAAAAAATCAGATTCAAAAAAAATAACTAACATACATACATTTAAAAATACATGAAAGTGTTTTAAATAGTATCTAATTTGTTTTTGTGAAAATATGCAGCAATATATGCGCACCATTTTGATGTCTTGTTTTGTGGATTCTTCTGAGCTATTCAGTACATTGTTCTAAGCCATTTATTGTTCTAAGGAAAATGTTGATCATCTCATTTTTACTAAGTTTTTAATTATCATCATCATAGTTATGAGGTTTGTTCAATAATCTGAAAAGTTTTTATCAAACAGTAGCACGGTGAATATTCTCAACAGTTCCTTGAACAGAAGCACCACAAACAGTAGCACAGTGAATATTCTTATCAGCTTGTGGAACAGAAGCTGCACCACAAGCTGAATTTATTAAGAGTTTTATCTTTTTTTTCTTTATCTATTTTTTTTTTGATTTTTATAAACTAATATCTTTTTTTAATTAAAGTCTTTCTAAAATTTTAATTAAAATTTAAAAGCTTTAAAAAATATCTTGAAAAACCTTTAAGTTTTGATTTTTTCTTTCCAAAACTTAAAGACTTTTATCAATCCATTTTTAACTTTTTTAAAATCTATAAAAACAGTCTTATTTTATAGGAAAACTGAACCAGAAGTGGAACTCCCTTCAATATATAAAGATTATGTTGTAACCCTAAAGAGAGGGCCTGGTGGATTCGGTTTTAGAATTGTTGGTGGACAAGAAGAGAAAACACAAGTAAAATTAGCTTTTTTTCTCATTTGTGAGAGCAATCGGTTTTAAAATTTAAATAAGTTTATGATATGTCTTCAAAGTGGTTTATTTACCACTTATTTGATTTTTAGGTTTGCATTGATACCATTGTAGAGAACGGAGCAGCTGAACAAGATGGTCGCTTACGTCCAGGTGATATCATTCTTGCTGTTGATGGAGTAAATGTTGTTGATGCGAGTCATAAAAAAGTTATCACATTAATGGGAAATGCTGGTTTAAATGGACAAGTTACTTTGCGACTGCGAAGAAAAAATGGTTTCTTTAGTTTTTTATCAAAAGTTTGTACAATAGCTAAAATAAACAAATTTATAAGTTAAAAGCACTTAAAAAATTCACCATTAAAATGAAAATTTAAAGTAAAATATGTTTATATTTTGTTTGTGTATATATATATATATATATATATATATATATATATATATATATATATATATATATATATATATATATATATATATATATATATATATATATATATATATATATATGTAAATATGTATATATTTTGGTTTTATATTTTTAGAAAGTTCTAATAATATAGAAGATTACAAAAAAAGCCTACCTCGACTTCAAGATTTAGAGCGAGCTAGATCAGACAATGAAAGCGTTCACTCTGATAAAGTGGAAGAGTGGCTTGAAGATCAGCATAATCCACGTAACGCATACAGGTACTATGAAGGCCATATTTTTGATCTTAAAATTTGTACCTGTGCTTTACTTCCTAATTTTTTGTTATTACTTGACTTTTTTGTTTTGTTTTGTTTTTTAATAAAATATTAGCTGTTAAAAAATGTAATGACATTTCAACAACCTTAAATTTAAAAAGAAATTGCACATCATGTTTTGTTTTATAATATGTTGTTATTAGTACTTTCTTTTGTCTACGTTTATTACAAAGTACGTTTATTACAAAGTGCTTCCACATTTTGAATAATGGAGTCAAGTGAATAAACTTTTAAGCAAAAAAAGAACTTTTTAGACATTTTTCAGTGATTTTAAAGTAAAAGTTCATTAAATATAAACTTCCGTTTGTTGCTGAAAACATTGTTCATATATTTATTTGATTATTGACTCATCAGAAAACAATTTTTCTAATATATATATATATATATATATATATATATATATATATATATATATATATATATATATATATATATATATATATATATATATATATATACACACATATCACATTCCAACTTTAGTTAAATAACTTGCTGTCAGACAACCAATACGTGTTTCAATCCTCTTGCTCTACGGCTGACTTGCTAACTGCTGTGACTAAAAGATTTTATCGTGCATTAGATGGAGGCTTAAAGGCTATTGCTCTAGACTTATCTGAGGCTTTCGACAAAGTTTAACATGTTGGTCTTCTCCATAAGCTTGTTTCATATGATGTATCAGGGAAATTTTTGAGATTATCAAATCGTTTTTTTTTCTAACCGCCTAATAATGTCATCTTCGAAAGTCAACACTCTTCTTTATTTCCACTAACTTCTGTGGTACCTTAAGGTTTTATCCTTGGTCCTGTTTTATTACTTATCTACATTAATGGTCTTCCAGACAACCTCACATCTAAAGTAGCTCTTTTTTCTGATGACTCAACCTAATGCAAATGTCTTGACAAAAATTCTTCTCTTTTTTGCTTAGAACAGACAGCCCAATTTGTATCTGATCTCACTTTTGTAACTGATTGGGGCTTACAGTGGCTTGTAAATTAAAATTTCAACAAAACTTAGTTATTTACCTCAAATAACTATTGCATTACTGTTGACACTCCTATTTTAATGAATGGCAATCCTCTCACTGATTCCTCTTCTTTACGTCTTCTTGGATTATCATTTACTACTGACCATTCATGGAAACCATTTATAGAATGGATTGCTAAATTAGCATATGCTAAGCTTGCTTCTCTTTATTGTGCTCATCATTTTCTCTTTCCTGATTCCATTCTCTACCTCTACAAATTTCTTATTCGTCCCTGTATAAAATACTATTGTCATATTTTTTTTTTTTTTTTAATTCACCTCCTCAAGGCCGAGAAGGCCACTACAGACGAGGAGGCTACTTATTTGTGGTAACAACCCTCTCTCAACTCTATAACTCCGAAACACGAGCCTTGACGAACGAGGCCACTGCGCAGAGAAACAAGTTGATTTATTTGGGCTGGTTCTTCTAATAATACTCTTTCTCCTCAAGATAAGGTCCAAAAATGCATTGTAAACAGAGTTGAACAAAGTCTATCTGCTAAGCTTGAGCCTCTTTCCTGTTGTTGTAAATTTGCATCTCTTTTTCTTTTTTATAAATGCTTTAATGGTTGCTGCTCAAAGGAGCTTTTATCTCTAGTTCCATCAACCAAGACTCATTCTTGCTTGACTTGTCATTTATCAATATCTCATTCTTTTACTGTATCTGTTTCCTTATGCTCTAAAAACATTTATTTGTCTAGCTTATTTCCCAGCACTTCAACCCTTAGGAACTCTGTCCCATCTTCATGTTTTCCTTACTACTCTTTTTTTCTAGCAACTCCCAACTTGATAGTGGTTGCTTGCAGCATTGTTGGGAGTAAAAAAGAGTTAAAAAAATATAGATGACAATGCCTAAATCAGTTACTTTTAAAGCTTTTGCTTGTAAAGATTAGGATTGAGTATTTTTCATTGTTTCATTATTATCTCCAGGAAGATTATTATCTCCAGGAAGATTATTATCTCCAAGATGATTATTATCTCCAGGAAGATTATTGTCTCCTGGAAGATTATTATCTCTAGGAAGATTATTATCAAAATTAATGAAATCAATTTGATTTGTTTGTAATTTTGTTTATCTGTTGCAGAAATTCACAACCTATGGCCAATATACAATCAGTTAGCAATCGAAGCAAGAGTGAAATGAATTTATCGACCAAGCCTGCTGTACCAGTTGTTACGACAAAATTGCAAAAAGAAAAAATAATTAATTTGTCACGCACCCAAAATGAAGGTTTTGGATTTGTAATTATGTCATCACCATCTTCAAATGATTCAGTCATAGGTTTGCAAAACTTTCTTTCTTTTTTTTTCTTTCTTTTTTTTTGTAGATTCATTTTTTAATCTATAATCTAAAATATTTAGGTCGAATTATACCTGGTAGTCCATCTGATAGATGTGGTGAACTTCATGTTAATGACGTTTTAATTTCTGTAAATGACACTGATGTAAGCACATTAAGTCACAGTGAAATTGTTTCTATGGTGAAAAGTTCAGGTTTGCATGTAAAACTTGTGGTTACTCCAGCTAATACTCAGTCAAATAATCCATCTGATGAGGTGCCACCATGTCCAGCTAAACCACAATATTATGACGATGCACCACCTCGTCCTGCTGAACCCCGAAATTATACACCATCAGCTATTAAAAATAACGATCAATTAAAAAATAAAGAGGTTTGTGAAGAAGATCTATTAGCAACAACAACAAAATTATTTGCAAACTTTTTTTATTTTTCCAAAAATGCTTTTGCATTTTAGCGCTTTTTTTAAAAACTAAAATCTACAGAATAGATTAATAAAGTACCAATCCAACTCCGTAGTTGTGAATATATATATAGTTGTGAATAATTTAAGGTAAAATTGTTTTCATTTTTAATTTTTTTTTAATTAGCAGGAGCGAGATTATATTCAACAAGTTCGTGAGAAAGAGTCTCAACAACCAAATCGCCCAAAGTCTGCACCATTGACCTCGTACAACAATGAAAAAGATATTACAGACAGCAAATGTGTCACAGCTTCTTCAAAAGCATTCTTGCCTTCTGATGAGAGTGATGCTGAAGAAAAAACTGCAAAAACAGAAACATTTTCGGTGGTGCTAAAAAAAGGTGAAACTGGTTTTGGTTTTAGCATTAAAGGCGGAGAAGGCGTACCGATTTCCATTTTAAGACTTGCCGAAAACGGTGCTGCTTGGAATGATGGAAGATTAAAGGTATGTCAATAATCTAAATATAACTTTTTATATGAATAATTATAATGTTTGTGATTCTGTTCTTATAGTTATTTAATGTTTGGTTTATGGTCACTTGATAATCCATGGTCACTATAATTTTTTAAATGTTCTTAACTTAAAAGGTTGGAGATGAAATATTGGAAATTAATAACGCTGATTCAGAAGTGATGTCACATTCGCAAGCTGTCAATGCAATACGAAATTCAGGAAAATCGTGTGAGCTCTTAATTAGAAGACATATAAAGTCAAAAGAATCAGGTATTGTTTTTTTCATTGTTTGTTTTGCTTTGTTTGTTTTGTTGTTGTTGTTTTTTTTATTTATGTTATTACGTTTCTTAACATGGAAAATCTTTAGAAACTGTTCGACCTCGTGTTGAGTATTACTGAGCCTCGATTTTGTGCGAAGTGTTGTTAAGCCTCGATCTTATGTCATAAACGAACTCTATAATCTTGGTAAAAAAACATGACTTGTTACTTCTAAAGTAAAATGAAGATTAAACAACTTGTGTTCGAGTTGTAACTTTAAAACATTTCTTTGATGACAGCTTTTAGGAACCTTTAGGAATTAACCTTTAGGAAGTAACCTTTAGGATTATTTTTTTTAAATCAATGTTTTAATATTCATAGATTGAAAGTTTTTTTTTTATTATTCTGTTTATAAGGAATTATAATAACGATTTGCATGGTCTTGAATTTATGAGTGTAAAAATCAATTTTTCTAATTTTTTTTTTTAACTTTTTATAAATGTGCGAAACTAGGTGATGTATTTTTTAACTTTTTACTTAATGATTTGGTATTTATTTTCTTTTATTTAAATTTTGTAATTTTTAGAATCAACCATCATTTTATCTTTGTTTAAGCCTTTTTTTAAAATAATAATCGGAAGGAAGGACATTGACGTTTTACTTCCGAAGAATGCTTCTCGAATATATATATTTTTTTATTTTCTCCCATTATTAAAATAATTACTAACATCGAAACATTAAAGTTAGATAAAATTTGGAATATTTAAATGCGTTTTTGTTCTACGTTGAAGATTTTGATCAATTTAGACATGTCAGTCGGTTAATTAAAAAAAAAGAACAACTTGTAACTCGTATTATTAATAGAAGTTAACATAATAACTTATTAATAAAAGTTATCATAATGACTTGTTACTCGACTTTGACTTTGATGTCATCGAATTGTGACCTGTCTTGAAGTTTAAGTCAACGTCTTGAAGTTCAAGCTCTAAAATCTTTTGGAAAAAGAAGTTGAAGAAACATTTCCCGCAATAAAGCTAAGTTTGTTTACATCCATTTAGCATATTTAATTTTTTTAAATATTTTGGCATTTGCTGGACATTAAAGTAAAAAGTTTAGAGGTAAAAAAAAATTAAGTCATTTTTTCGAACTTCTATTTTTTAATAATAAAGTTTCCAAAAATCAATTCGAAATTAAATAAATTATGTTCTGTAAAATTTTATTCTTCTTCCTATCGACATAATTATTGCTATCGTTGCTACGTTACAACTTTTTCTTATTATGCTTTAACTCTTTCCATATACTCCAAATGTTCTTTAGTTGATGTTTTGCAAAAAAGCAATAATTTTTTGAGTTGGCATTTTTATTTTCCATAAAAAAAGAAACACATTGTAAAGTGTTTTATTTCTCAATCTTAACACAGAATACAGTACAGTAAAACAGGAGTCCGATGCAAAAGACGGTGAAATTCTAACGGAAAATCTTTGAAAAGCAAAGGATTTAAATGAAAAGACAATGACAGAAATGGAAAAACTGGTATTAAGGCTTGGTTTATTGAGTTTAATTGGTTATTTTATGATCAATCACTGAAAGTTGTCTTATGTGAAACCTGTACAAAATATGATTCATATTCTAGTAGAGTGTTCAAGCATGGAGTTGGGAAAGGGTTTAGAACATGGAGCAAATCTGCAGCAGCACTAAAAGTTCACGAGGACTCCAGTGTTCTTAAGACTGCAAGCGCTCTAAAGAGAAAGAAAATATAAAGTTTACGACAATTAATGCTCAAAATGACCAAATGCACATGGAGAAGCAAGTAGTTCGGAAAAAGGCTTGCTAGCTCATTTCGGAACATTGAAAAAATTGTTTCGACAGATTGTAGCTATAAGAGGTAATAATGATGAAGAACCAGTTTGAAAAGAGGTGATAATGATGAAGAACCAGTTTAATTTGGATAAGAGTAAAAGTAACAAGGCACTAGAAATGTTGATGATTGAAAACCATTATGTTTTATCTCTTGACATCTTGCAAGAGCAAGAACAATTTCTCACCTTAGAATCACGGAAGCAGATTTTTGAACTGATCAAAGATATACATTTCTGTTCGGTATTTGCAGATGAATCTTCAGATATTACTTAGAAGGAACAAATGTCATTTAATATAAGATCTTGCAATGAAAACTATGAAGTAAATGAAGATTTTATAGAAGTAGATAAATGCGTCAACGGTCTTTCTTCAGATGCCTTAGTGATTTATACAAAAAGATATATACAAAAATATAGTGATATATACAAAAAGGGCCGGTATTGGCTTTGATGGAGTATCAGTTATGAAATGCTTGGCAGCTAAACTAAAAAATATTTTTGGACAGCAATCACAATATTTTCATTGCATGACGCATTGCAACGAAATGATTGCTAAGAGTACATATGCAATATCATCACTACTGTCAGATTCTCTCAGCATTTTCCAATCAATTTATATAACTGTTGGGGCATATCCAAAGACTCAATGGATATCACGAACAAAAGCAGTGCAAGTGGTGTTGGAGAAGATTGCAGAACTCCGTACAATATTGAACAGTCTTCAGAGTGACTAGACTATTACTGCAGAAACAAGAGCATAAATTAAATTAAAGGTTTAATTAAATTATAAACAAATTAAAGGTTTAATTAAATTAATGAAAAGTTTACATTGGGCGGTACAATGACTGGTCCTGTTAAGTCAGAACAAAAACAATATCTTATTTTGAAGCAAACGATGCTATTCAGAACAGCTTGAGTTAGAGATTTTAACAGGATGGATTAACAGCTGTAAAAAATATAAGAGTTTGATTTCATCGGTGAATAAACAAGATTCCCCACTGTTTTAATTTGGAATGCCATGAAGGGGCTACCAACAATTATTACCCTGTACAATGCTGTACAGGGTAATAATCTATTGACATCATCATGTGAAAGAAGCTTAGTGTAAAGAGGAGAGTGAAAAAATGGGTTAGGTCACAAACTGGAGGCAATCATCTGAACATCATCATGTTTGCTCAGATAAACAAAAAAAAAATCAACAAAATTAACATTGAAAAAATTGCAGCAACTGGTTAAAGACATTTATAGTGCAAGTGTAAATTTAGCATATGAAGTAGCCATGCCTAAATGGAAGATGAGTTTTTTAAATTAGATTGTAACATGACACTTGTTCAGATGCTGATAACATACAAATCATCACTTGGTGACCTTTTTTACTCTCCACTGTTAAAGAATGTCTTTTTTAAACTAAATACTGTTTTACCAGCCGGTGCAGCCTGCTAACTTTTTTACAGTGTCGTAGGCTAAGTGATCGTGCTAAACTATATTAGATGACAGATAAACATTTTTAACAGCAGCTGTTATAACAATATATATCCTTTAAACGTCCGGCATCAATCTATAAGATAAGACCGTGAGGCCCATTTATAAATACTGTACATGACCTAAATAAAACAAAACAATTGTATTTGCCAAGAAATCAGACTAATTTATAAATCCTCATAATCTTGTGTAAACCAGCCATCTGTTGCAAAAAACATATAATTGATTGATCGATTGAATATATGCTAAACTTTATTCCAAGATGATTTAAAAACTTATATCTAGTATGCTAATGTTGAATGAAAGAGACCCTCTAAAGTACTTTTCACTTTGTAACTAAAAAGTACTTTTATCAGACCACACTATTTGCTTTTGCTTAAGTATTTTAGTCTAGCAGTACTTTTTACATTTACTAAGTTACTTAAGTATTTTAGTTTAGCAGAAATTTACTAAGTTACTTTTAGAGTCAGTTCTTTTACTTTTTAAACGGTCACGACCTCAAACCTGATAAAAAAACAACATGCATTTAGTTAAAATCAAATGTATACTTGTATTTATAAATTAAGGTTTCAATATGTTTTAAATAGGAAATGAGATTTAGTTGATTACAAATACATTATGAGTTGTACACTTATTGAATCAGCAGTTAGAGATTTAAAGCTTGACTCGAGTATTGAATTAAATTGGCTTTGCTTGAGATTTGTCTTGGAATTTGACTTGAATTTGAAAACTCTAGTAAAAAAAATTGACAGAAATTTGTAAGTTGTAAAAACAATGACTTGGTCACAGCTCTGGTTGCGAAAGTATTTTTTTCTTCGACATTTATAAGCAAAATCATTTTCTCCACCAAAACTCTGGGAATGAATACTCGAAAACAGAAGAAAATGATTTTCAGCAAATTCTGGAAGTGTTGTCTTTACGAATACTTTTTTCTACTTGTTTTTCATCTTTTCTACTTGTTCTTCATTTTTTCTACTTGTTTTTCATCTTTTCTACTTGTTCTTCATCTTTTTTACTCGTTTTTCATCTTTTCTACTTGTTCTTCATCTTTTTTACTCGTTCTTCATCTTTTCTACTTGTTCTTCATCTTTTCTACTCGTTCTTCATCTTTTCTACTCGTTCTTCATCTTTTCTACTCGTTCTTTATCTTTTCTACTCGTTCTTCATCTTTTCTACTCGTTCTTCATCTTTTCTACTTGTTCTTCATCTTTTCTACTCGTTCTTCATCTTTTCTACTCGTTCTTCATCTTTTCTACTCGTTCTTTATCTTTTCTACTCGTTCTTTATCTTTTCTACTCGTTCTTCATCTTTTCTACTTGTTCTTCATCTTTTCTACTCGTTCTTCATCTTTTCTACTTGTTCTTCATCTTTTCTACTCGTTCTTCATCTTTTCTACTCGTTCTTTATCTTTTCTACTCGTTCTTCATCTTTTCTACTCGTTCTTCATCTTTTCTACTTGTTCTTCATCTTTTCTACTCGTTCTTCATCTTTTCTACTTGTTCTTCATCTTTTCTACTCGTTCTTCATCTTTTCTACTCGTTCTTTATCTTTTCTACTCGTTCTTCATCTTTTCTACTCGTTCTTCATCTTTTCTACTTGTTCTTCATCTTTTCTACTCGTTCTTCATCTTTTCTACTCGTTCTTTATCTTTTCTACTTGTTCTTCATCTTTTCTACTCGTTCTTCATCTTTTCTACTTGTTCTTCATCTTTTCTACTCGTTCTTCATCTTTTCTACTTGTTCTTCATCTTTTCTACTCGTTCTTCATCTTTTCTACTCGTTCTTTATCTTTTCTACTCGTTCTTCATCTTTTCTACTCGTTCTTCATCTTTTCTACTTGTTCTTCATCTTTTCTACTCGTTCTTCATCTTTTCTACTCGTTCTTCATCTTTTCTACTCGTTCTTTATCTTTTCTACTCGTTCTTTATCTTTTCTACTCGTTCTTCATCTTTTCTACTTGTTCTTCATCTTTTCTACTCGTTCTTCATCTTTTCTACTTGTTCTTCATCTTTTCTACTCGTTCTTCATCTTTTCTACTCGTTCTTTATCTTTTCTACTCGTTCTTCATCTTTTCTACTCGTTCTTCATCTTTTCTACTTGTTCTTCATCTTTTCTACTCGTTCTTCATCTTTTCTACTTGTTCTTCATCTTTTCTACTTGTTCTTCATCTTTTCTACTCGTTCTTCATCTTTTTTATTTGTTCTTCATCTTCATCTTTGTTTTTTATCTTTTATGCTGACTCTTGTTTTGTTTACATTTTATAATTTTAGCAAAATTTATAAAAGATTTTTTCCTTTTTTTGAGATAAAATATATTTCAAAAAGAGTTTTTTTGGTCCTCCGAT